TTTGGTCTTTTGACAATATACAATACGAAGAAAATTCATGTTCTTCCCAATACAATCTCACAATTCCGTCGCACTGAAAATCAACTTTTACGTATGCTTCTTCTTCAAGTCAGCGCGCATGTTATACTTTGTACACCGGTGTGCATAATGTATTTGATCGCATATCTGCCAATTCAACCGTTGAGTCCAGTTCAGTATTACTTCATTTATAATATGACAACCTTTCCTTCTTATTTATCGTTTACCATGCCCATCATCTTGTACATTCTGTCAGCACAAGCATACAGAAAAGAACTCAAACGACTAATGAAGAAAGCTTTTCACCGTTCTACTGACACTCAAGTTCATCCGACACAAGATGTTCAGACCGTTCAAACAACTCGTGCTGTGGTAGCTGTGTACAATTGAACAAATGTACTATTTATAATAATAGAACTTGCTTTATATCTCTTGAAACTGAACAATTCACACAAACTATTCACAATTTCAAAACCAAATATTGAATTGTGCTAGACATAGTTATCTAGTTGTATGTTTATAAATAAAAGTATGATCCCTTTCTTGTCTAATTGTTGTTCATAGTTAATAGTTGTCAATCATTATTTTCGAGTTTTTTGAACGATATGATCAAGAATGATTAGGTTGCTGGTAAAGTCAATCATTGCATTATCTGAAGCAAAAACGATGAGTCGACAAGCGAAGATAACAATAACGTATGCATGAACGACAGCAAAGTGGATGAAGAAAATGTTTCATTGAAGTTTTTCAATAAAGAAACATGTCAACACTAGCACAGAAAATAATCTTCATCTAAGAGAAATTGCCTGAGAAGCCATCACTTTTTATTTCAAAGTAGAGAATGACATCGAGTAGAAAACAAAATAATGTTTTTGAACCTCTTCTTCGAAGCAATCAAACATGACCATACTGTTACAGTCCAAACCTATCGAAATGCTATATATATTGAGTTACAAATTGTGTATTACAAGTAGAACTTAGTATTTCCTAATCTTAATCATCAATCTACATTCATTTGGTTCAAACATCATAATGAATAGTCTATATTAAGATACTCATATCGACACTAAATGAAATTGTGTTGCAGATAGTGTACTGTGTCGTTTCAAATATTCGTCAAAATAATCTTGTGGCATGTACAACACATTCGGATAGTTCTAATAAAAACTGCGTATGAATGTGGTGATTGGTTAGAATGATCAAAACCATGATTTATTAATGGACAAACAAGATTTTTTAATCCAAAAGTTCAAGTCACTCGATAAATTATGGATTCGAAGAGCAAATCCTGAATTGAACTGGAAGAATGCTTTTTGATAAGCAATAGTTATTACCTAGACTTTTTCCGTTACCAATTTTAATTCCATCACTTTTTCGTGTCAAAAATAGCACTGTTTGAACTATGCATTTTCTACGAAATCTTACTTTTCAGGGCGAATCTGAAACGAAGTAAAAGCCAAAAATCAAATGTCTCTAAGTATAAGTATTTTCAAACTGCAACAGTCTGCATTTGTCTAATACTACGGACTGCATAAATCAAATTTAGACAAAAATGACTTGAACCTTTAGAGCATCAGCCATGTTGAAAATTTTTATATCCGTTTTTGACTCTAGAATCCATAATTTTTGGTCGTTGGTATTTTTCAAAATTACACTGTTGTGGAAAGAAATATCACTCTATACTATAATGCTCAGAAAAGAAGCATGAGCTCGAGGATGTGAGTGTGTGCGGATCTGGGTGTCTGGGTGAGTGTGGTGTGGGTGTGGGATGTGTGGGTGTGTGGGTGTGGGTGTGGGTGTGGATATGGGTTGTGAGTGCGTGTAGACGTAGGTGTGAGTGGATGCGGGTGTGGATATTGGTGTGGGTGCCGGTGTGGGTATTCACCTTTCGCTGTCAACACCCACACCTCAGACCCACACTAACATCTCACATCCACACCTCACACCCACAGCCACACCCACAGCCATACACACAATCATACACACAGCCACACCTTCGAATATAACTATAACTTTTGGCAGCATCGTGATATTAAGATCTAGAATGAATCTTGATTCAATCCTGATAAAATCTTGATGGAATCCTCTTTATAATGTTCGTCATGGTTTCTGGATAGGATTAACAGTGAATCTTAGGAGGATTCTACAAGCTCACTTGAGAAAAAAATTTGAGCAAGTATCTGAACAAATCCAAAATTGAATTCCGAATCAAACCTGACAGGATCCTTGAGATTCATGATTCTGAAAGATTCTTCAAGTCTGGGTGTAGAGTGTGAAGTGTGAGTGCGGATGCGAGTCTTCGTATGGGTCTGGGATCAGTGAGGGTGTAGGTCTACGTATGGATCTGGCGTAAATGTGGCTCTCTGTGTCGTTCTGGTTATTCTCATGAACAACATCCACACACACACTCATTTTCGGAAAAAAAGATAGATTCGAAATCAGCACAAAAAACTGCATCGATCAGGGTAATTTCCTTTCACTTGTGAATCCTTTGATTTTTTGACAAATTGTAATCTTAAAAAAAGGTCTGAATTTTCATGACAAAATTAAAATCGAGAAAACACTTGAAATGTTAGATGATGCAGTTTCTTGTGCTGATTCCGAAACTACCAATTGTTTTTAAATTACCGTTTTTAGACAGAGGATACCTCGAATTACTGAGAGAATTTCATGCTTCTGGGTTCTGAGGCAAAGTTAAATGGTATTCTGTTCCAAAATATCAATATTTCGAAAAGCCAAAGTTATACTTTTGAAGCCTATTATCTAGCGGTGCAAATGGTATATAAAACTCAGCTATAGCTTGAGAAGCAAACAACTAGACAGCTTTCTCGAAAAAAATGAATTATTGTCATCATAAGCCTTTCAAAAAAATTTATCTATATATGTAATTTTACTCAACTCGACGAAATCTGCCTAACCATGTATTAAAATGCGAAAAAAAGAAATTCGCTTTAATTTTGCATTATTTCCACTTTACTTGTCTTATCGATTGATTTCAGTCTCGATTTTGGTTTGAACGAGGATGATTTTTTGAATATCAAATTTATAGCGACTTACATGATCGTTTTATTTCAATAAATCCATCCAGATACAAATAAGATTGTTTGTTTAAATACTTTAATTTCTAATTTATAGAAGAGAATCTTACTCAATTTATGATACAAAATTCGTGAGAAACTATTCATTTCGTTCAAAATGTCACATTAATTCAGTTCAGTGTATTGAAATTCAACAGCCAAAAGAGATAATTGTAGATATTACTTTCCAAATGTTACTGAGCTTACTATTTCATGTTTATGAAAAACAATATCAAGACTTTCTCTTTACCAGTTTTGTTACTATTATTCCATTGAAACAACTTAGTAAATTAGTCATTTCTATTTACCCTAATAATTTTGTAGAAATAATTCAATTCTTACTTTTATCATCTAATATTCATACATTCAAAATTGATTGTGTGCCACTTAAGTATTCAGATTTAGTATCAATTGAAAATAGTGAAGCATTGCAATTATTATCCAACACAAATAATATTAAAGAAATTACTATTATGTTTGAATGTACATTGGAAATAACAAAATTTTTTGTTAATTTATGTCCTCGATTACAATATTTGACAATAGGAATTCCGAATGATAATCTTAAACTAGTTTTATCATTTTTATTCTCAAAAAAGTAATTACATTACAAAGAATTTATTATCATTGTGTATCAAAAATATGTCTGATGAAAAATTCGTTACATTGAAGAACTTTATTGTGTTAGAGAAATTGTTCGATGTCTATTTAGCGAGAATAAAACGTGATATACACAATGACAATGCATTTTTATGGTGGTAAATTGGATTGCTAATGAATTGTTGCATTGTAAAATTTTTATTACTTTTAAATAAAGAAGAAAACTAACATTATTACATTTTGTACATAAAGTGTCTCATGAAGATACGTTACTCTATGTGATATCTTAGAATTCATCAGCGTATGAAAATGGTGTGAGTGTGTAAGAGTGACAACGAAATTCATCCACATCTTAATCCACACCTAGACACCAACACCCTCAAAGATCGTTTTAGTTCTATGAAAACTATATAAAGTAGGGTGTAGGTTTGGGTATGGGGTGCCGATATGGATATTGGTGTGGATGTGAGGGTGTATGTGGGTATCGG